GGCCCCTTCGCTGCCCGAGCTCACACCACGCTAATGTTTGGTGTGATCAATGTTTGGTGTGACTAATCTTTGGTTTGATTAATGTTTGGTGTGATGGGTGCCTGGCGGCTCTGTGGAGCCACACAGAGTGCCACCCCTCACCGAGAGGCTATCCTCCTCCTCTTCCTCCTCCTCCCCATGTGGTAAGGTAGAGATTCAGGTTAGTCGTGTGCGGTCAGGCCGGCTTGGTTCACACGGGGACTGAATATAGAACCAGAGCTGGGTTTCTGACTCGCTTCTTTTGAGTACCATAGAAGGAATGAAGCGTGAGCGAAGGATGTGAGTGTGCAGGGAGGTGCTTGTGGAAGGGCAGCGTGGGGCTGGCGCTCGGCACTGAATGAATTGTGGGTAGGCTGAGGCTGCGTGGCTGCAGAGAAAGGGGATGACAGAGTAAATTGCGGGAGGGTGGAGTCATGTGGTGCCTGGGATTTCAAGCCTAATGAGTCAAAGGGAAAGGAACTGGGGAGAAAGAAACAGAAGAGATGTTACGGTGGGGTCGGAAGACTAAATATAGCAGCCACGCTGCAAGGATACGAGCGTCCCGTTCCTGATCATCATTGTTCGCTGCCAGGGAACGGGTGAAACTTGGCCGCTTACGCACTCCTCGGCCTTCCTGGCATGTAGCTAGTTCCTGCCCGTGTTTCTATTCCCTCCCAACCCAGAGGAGAAAGAATGGGAATGTTTTCCCTATTGGGTGTTTGCTGTGACTGTCTCTCAGGGTTTTGCATTCAGCCCTGGAATGCTCCTGGATTACAAAGGTAGGCAGGGCACAGGGAGTCTTCCTGCTCTCTGCTGAAATCTCTGTTTGTCTTTTTGTCCCTGCTTGTAGGCTGTGCTGCGTATTGTAACTTTTGGGGGGTTTCAGTGTGAGCTGAGTAGGAGTGTGTCAGGGATCCACAGTGATTTTTTAGGGTAAACTTCCTCTGATTTCTTACCTGGCCTGCTGAAAAATTTTGTTGACTTGCTCCAGGAGAAAGCAATTTGAGGAGGAATTCTTCCCAGGAGTTCAATAATACGTGCAACATGATCTAGACAGAGGCAAGGAAAACATCTGGATACGGAGATTGTGACACTGCCATTAGTGAAATTAGTAAAATTGATGGAGTCCTACCATCATCTCTGGAGAAGTACTTCCCAGGTTGAGGATCAAATAGACGCTCACCAGTTGCCATTTCAAATGCCTGGAAAGGGAGGAGGCATCGTTAATTCACTGACTTGGAGTTTTTCTTCCCCATTAACACTGATAGTCCCATAAAACATCCTACAGTACATCAGTATTCACACTGGTTTGATCCATACCACGGTAAAACAGCATCCTGAAGTGCTGAGGCCTGAACTATAGATGAGCCTCGCACTCCAACAATGTATCCAATATATATATAGTATTAATTGCACATAGTATTAATCACACATGTAATGTATTGCTAATCTATTTTGGTATGAATATATATATATATATTCTGATGCTTATCTGTAAAAGCTTTTGCTGTAACACTTATTGTGTAGTGGTAACCAGCAGAGCGATTTTTAGAGGCATGTTGCAACACTGTGAGACCAGATGCCTGGCCTTGTTGAGAAATACGTGATTAAAGCCCAAATAGATAAAGAAACGCCCTTGGATCCGTCCTTTAGCCTGGCTGGGCTTTGGGTGGAATCCAACGAGGGGGCGACGCCAGATGTTCCCGCATTTCGAGTTAGGTAAGTTTGTTTATTCGGTAGTGTAAAAGCCGGACCCTCTTGCACTGACATTGGAGACCTGCCCTAGGAGTGGACGCGCTGGACAGGACCTCCTGATCGATCACCGGGACGGGCTTCAAATCCTCGCTGCAACTGGGGCTCCCCAGCGACTGCGGGTCTGGATGATGATCAAGTATCAGGGCAATTGGTGATTGATCTTTCTTAATCACCATCACTAACCTTTTGTACTTAGGATTAGGTGCATTACCCTGCTTGTTCTCCTTGCTTAAAACCAGAGTATAAGAAGCTCGTTGTTTTAACTAAATGCAGTACCTTATTTTTGTAATATCTTGAAACAGACAGTAAGTCTACTTTTTGGTGGTGTCTGTGTCCTTTCTGCTGACCCTGTCAGTTGGCAAAACACACCTTTAGCTCCCCCAGGCAGAAAAAGCGTTATGTGCCTGCTTCAGTCAAGCCTGTGCGGTGTGAATTGCCTTACAGCTTAAACTAAGAGTGAGTTAGATCAGCAGCACGCTTTCACCCCAAAGAAGTGAACGACAGCCAGGCAGACGGCCCATTTCCTCAGCAAGGGGGTTTTGCTTTACCCACAGTGGGTTTAAGCGGGTGCCGAGGACACGCTGCGTTGTCCCCAGTCCTACCAGGCAGCCTGTGCTCCAGATATCCGCCGGAGTGCCGTAGTCTAATCCAAGCAGCACTTCCAGGGCACGGTAAGGCTGGGTCTGTATCTCCTTGGAAAAAGGCTTGTACTGAAAAGGAAACAAACTCCCTTTGGTTACTGCATTTATAAACGAGTAACGGCAACAGTTGTGGTCACAAGCTTCCCGCCGGGTGAGGAGGACGCTGGGGAACAGAATCAAATCCATGTAGTAAAGTCTGCACAGGGTATGGCAGGCACGTTCCCAGCCCCACTGCCACCAAGGTGAATTTATCTCCCAACGTTTCACACGGAAGACTTTTGAATTTCTAGTTGTAGGGACTAACTGCAAGTGGAAGAAACATCCAAAGCTGACAGTGTCTCCCAGAGTACAGTGCCCAGCTCAGAGCTGGGAGCGCTGAATCAGCATCTCTTCCGCACGCTGAAATCGCTGTTCAGCTGCAAAGGGACCTGACATGCGGTGGGGGATGGAAAGAAGCACACAGCATCCTGCATCGTCATGGGACTGAGACTCGGAGCAGACTCACTGTCCAGCACGCGCTGCCCAGGTCCGCAATCTTCACTTCTAGGCTCATTAAATCAGATTCTTCCAATTGATTGCCAAGATCATCCCCTAGATGGAAAGGAGAGAGAGAAATCAGGTCTTCCCAAACTAACAGGTACATGTCACGTCCACAGGAGAGGCCGTTAAAGTTTTCTACCTAGAAGGACCTAAAACATTTTTTATCACCACCTCTGTTTTAAGGAAACACAAAGAGCCAGTATCCAGTCAAAAATCTAAACGGGCGTTCGGGAGGACAGTAGCTTGAAGTGGAGCAGTGTGACCACACGCTGGTGTCCTGCTGTGAGGTTCCTCTAGCACCGAGGTTAAATTACTGTGGGCCCAGAGGAGAGCACATCCTACCAGTGCTGGTCAGACTGCAAACGTCTGTCTGGCCTCCTCAGCCTTCCGCAGTCCTGGCTGTCACGCACCTCGGATGCAGCCTGCTTAGCAAGCACCGTGAAGGTTACGTTTTTGGTTTACTGCTTTACAGAGAGCTGCCGGTCTGTGGCTAATACTGTGCCTGAGGGAGATTCAGTCACTAATTTAGCATTCCCTGATTGCACCAGAGTTTGAGAGACAAAACAGCACTGGCATGGGAGAAACGCTCATGGGAGAATGTTGTGTGAGGCTTATAGAAAGGGTTTCAGTGCTGGGAGATAAGCTGATCTCTTGAGACACTCTCCAGCCCTACATTTTATTCAATATTCACACCATTCCCTGCAAATAAATTATGTCTCAAAGGCCTTGAAGATCAGCAGTACTTGGAAATCTCCCGCAAACCTCAGAAATACGGGAAATAAAGAGCAGACGTGTCACACAGCTTTCTGATCAAGCCATTTTGCACGTTTCACTGGCTGAACGCACCAGACATGAGGGAGCTATCCTGTACCTAAAGCTGTGAGAATGAGCCCATGAGCTGTAAGTTGTCCTCCACAAAAACCTCCACATGTCTATAGGAGTCTCGAGTAGCTTGTAGCCATTCAGGCTGATGTTTGTATTCAGCAGAGATAGGAGAGGCCTCTCAGCAGCGTTAACTGACTGTGCTGCTTCGTACTGGCCATTGCAGAAGACGGCAACCTTTCCTAATGTACCTGCCGCCTCTCTGTTTCCCTCCTGGCAACAAACACACAAGTCCCTTGTTAACAAAACCCATGGAGTGCTCACCTAGTCTCTTTAGCCTCAGATCTGTCTCGCAGCTGTAGCCAAGCGTATCAGGAAGCAGCCTTTGGAGGCTTTCGGTGGGTCCGTACAGCAAGATGTTCTCCGGTTTGATGTCCGTGTGGATGATGTGGCAGCGGTTGTGCAGGAACTGCAGCCCTGCCAGCACCTGGGCGAGCAGGCAGCGCGTTCCACCACCGTGTCCCATCACCACGTCCCACCAGCATCCTCCCCGCTTCCCCTGCCCTGCAGCCGTCAAAAGTTGGGCACAGCGGGTGTGCAAGCTGTGGGCATTCTGACGTTGAAGCAAGGAGGCACTGCTGATACCTATCTGCAATAAATTGTAGCTGTGGAGTGAGAAAGTGCCCTGCACAAAGCTGGAGGTGC